AACGAGCTTAAAGCCCCTGATGGCTCTGGGCGCTGACTCTCACCAGTGGCTATGGATGAAGTCACAGGCGATTTTCAGCCAGCGCCGCTGATTCTTCTTCTATATCCCCACAACATCTTACAGAAACTTGTGTTCAAGTTTGTCATTTACTTGAGCTCTAGTGGCCTAGTGGCAAAGAGTTGCATTACCAACCCAAAGGCAGGCAGTTCAAATCTACCAGCTTGTCTGCAGGAAAAAGATGGGCAATCTCCTCCTGTGCAATTTACCGCCTCAGACAATCTGATAGAGTCAGCTATGAGTTTGTTCCAACTCAACAGCACATAAAGACACAGACAACACCAGTTACTTAGGGAAGTTCTGGTGAAAGCTGTAGTCTGTGTGGAGTTGCACTACTAACCCAAAGGCCTCAACTCTGGTTTTTCAAATTCACCAGCTGTTCCACAGCTCAAAGATGGGCAATCTCCTCCCGTGCCACTGACAGCCTCAGAAATCCAATGAAGGGTCAGCTATGAGCTGGTTCCAACATTACAGCAATGATTATGTGAGTGATCATTTACTTGCATGTCCATTATACTTTAAGGGAAAGAACCATGTTTTACTGGCTTTGAAAGGTACTGCCGGGGACAGTAGATAATCTAGAAACATTTTTAATGAAAAAATACCTACTATTCATTGACTATCTACTATTTATCATGCATTTTACTATCTTCTTTATATGTTCTCATTTCTGCCACACACATCTTACAAAAGAGGAAATGGAGCTTCAGAGAAGTTAAATAGCTAGCTGAATGCCACAGGAAAGGGAAGAGCCTGAAGGAGAGCCCACATCTATTTGATAAGAATGTCCTTGTTCTTTTCCCAAAACTTCACTGAAAAATCTGTAAATGCCTCTACCTTAAATACCAAAAGTTCCTAATTTGGAGCAAATCCATCTTTTCAGTTTCGTCTTAACACAGTTTCTCTAAAGACACCTGCTTTTTGGTTATGCTCAGTCAGAAGGTATTTCCAAAGCACCTCTAGTAAAAGTTATTATTTACTGAAGGCCTCTTATGTGCTTCTGTTCTAACCAAGTAGCCCTGCAAGGAACAGTAATGAAACGCTCAGCTCTTAATCCAAAGGCCAATGATTTGAACTCAGTTGCTCCTCAGAAGAAAGATGTGGCCGTTGCTTCTGCAGAGATTTCTAGATTTAGAAGCTCTATCAGTCAGTTAAATGTCCTACAAGATCACCATGAATCAGAATTCAACTCTATGACAGTGGAGTAGGTTCTTGTCTAAATTTTTTGTAAATATTGAACTACTCAACCCTCACAAGAACCTGATAAAGTGGACACGACTACCATTTTAGAAATGATGAAACATTTTTAAAGACAACAACCTTGTTCAACAGTCAAGGTCACAGTTAGCAAGTTACAGTGCTTAGATTCATGTATCTCAAAGTTCACGCTCTCATTGAACTTTTCTGGAATGCTAATTCTACCCCATTAGTTCCTCTGCCTAAAGAAAATATCCTTCAGGATTCTGCTGAAATTCTACCTGATTCAACACCAACCTCCTCGCTCAGGTACTTCCTTTTCTGTTTCCTCATAGTTTTGTTTTGATTTTTTGTTTCTTTCTAAAACACTAAAACTTATCATACTGCTGCCTACTGGTCTTAACCACAACATGAGAGCTTGAAGAGTATAAGCAACAATGGTCCTTTTAAGTATTTAGTAGCCACATTAAGTAAAAAAGACACAAGTAAAAATAATTTTATTTTGCCCATTAGATCTAAAATAATATGAACACATAATCAACTACAAAAATATAGTCCTCTTTTGTTCTTTGCTGTGTATTTCACATTGAATACATCTGAATTCAAACTAGCCACACTTGAAGAGCTCTGAGCCACTAACAGCCAATGGCTACCTAATTCAATTATACACAGGACGAAACCAAGGCTCTCAGGCAGGGCTTCTATTCTTTTCATGTTCTCTTGACTCATTCAAAACTCCTTGCCTTGGAGTTGGAACCTACTCATAGTTGAACCTTCGCTGGTTTCTAAGACTATAAATCACATAGGAGAAGACTTACGTCTTTCTCCTGAGGAGCCAGATTTGAACCACCAGAGAAGTGCAGACTTTTGGTTAGCAGCTCAATGGCCTACAGATCACCAAAGCTCCCTCTTCTCTTGACTCAAAAATTGTCAGTTAAGCCAGAACCGATTCCTAGCTCACCCTCCGTTGAGTGGGTTTTCAGAGGATATTAATTACCCAGGAGGAGAATGCCCATCTTTTCCCCACTAAGCAGTGCGTGGATTTGAACTGCCTACCTTTAGGTTTTGGAAGGAGAAGTGGCATCCACTTCCATAATAGCTTGCCTCCAGAAACCCTATGAACCTGGAGAGAGGATGAAAGACACCCAAGTGTTGAGGACTCTCCTTCATAGGGTCGCTATGAGTCACCTGCGCCTTGACGGCACTTAACAGCACAACAACAACCTTTAGGTTGTCAGAGCAACTCTCACTAGGCCATCCTTCTCTTGACTTGTTGTTATTACATCTCCTCCTTCTTTCTCCCATGGAGCAGGTGGGTGGATTTAACTGCTTGCTTTTGAGCTGGCAGTGCAACTCCTTACTACGAGGCCTCCAGACAAGAAAGAAAAATTTTTTAAAAAGTAAATCCACAGGGAGCTCTGGTGGCCTAGTGGCAAGAAGCTGCACTGCAACCTCAGAGGTGCATGGTTTGAATCCACCAGAGGCTCTGCTGGAGAAGGAGGGACAATCTCCTTCTGTATCTATCAGTCAGATCCCATTTGACCACACACACACAAAATAAATACAATCCTCACAGCAACCCCTTCTTCAATTTTCCAAGACTGTAAATTTTCAAATAGAGCAAACTGCCTCCTCTTTCTCCTGGAGCTGCTGGTGTGTTCCAAGTGCTGACTGTTTAACAGCCCAATACATAACTCACTACACCATGAGAGCTCTTCAGCTAACACATTCATGTCTGTCAAACTAATAGAGTTGGTTTTTTTTTTTAAGAAAAGGATTTACTTCACTTATAGAAAGAATATAAACTCAAAGTAATGCAAGAGTGGATATTTCATACTCCTAAAAAGCCAAGATACCTGATATCATAATTCAGTCAGCATATTTCAACTATCAAATGAGAAACAAGCAAAGTATTATAACAGAATATGCAAAGAGCTGGAGCTGGAGACTAAACAGGGAAGAATCCGCTTGGCATTTCTCAAGTTGAAAGAACAGAAATACAAATTCAAGCCTCAAGTAGCAGTACTGAGAGACACTACAGGAGAAATCTTGAGCGATCCAAGAAGTATCAAAAAAAGATAGAGGGACTATACAGAATCACTGTACCTAAAAGTATTGATATGGATATATTTCAGGTAGTGGTTTATGATAAAGAACCAACAGTATGAAAGAAATTCAACAAGCTGCACTGAAGGCACTGGCAAAAAACAGGGCTCTAGGAGCTGATGGAATTACAATCAACATGTTCCAACAAACAGATGCAGTCTTGGACCTGCTCATGAGTCTACGCCAGGAAATTTCAAAGACAGCAACCTGGCCACTGACTGGAAGAGATCCATATTTGTTCCCACATCTAAGAAACGTGACCAGTAAAGTTTGAAAATTTTCAACAATATCATTGCTATCACATGCAAGCAAAATATCACTGAAGGTCATTCAAAGATAGTAGAATAGTTTATTGACAGAGAAGTTCAGGCTGAGTTTAGAAAAGCCATGGTACTGGGGATATTAATGTTGATGTCAGATGGATCCTGGCTGAAAAGCTGAGAATAACAGAAAAATGTCTGTGCTTCATTGACTATGCAAAGGCAATTGTGCACATCACAACAAATTGTAGTTAACCTTGAGTAGAATTGAATTCCAAGACACTTAATTATAATTATGCCTTTACGGAAGCATACCTAGGACTTAGACCAAGAAGCTGTGGTCTGACCAGCTCTACGTAGTTAAAATCAGAAAAGGTGTGCATCAGAAATAAATCCTTTCTCCATACTTAATCTAAATGTAGAGCAAATAATTTGAGAAGCAGACTTTATGAAGAAGTGGATTTTATGGCATCAAGATTTGAGGAAGATTCATTAACAATCTGTATTATGCAGATGACACAACCTTGCTTGCTGAAAGCAAAGACTTGAGATGTTTGCTGCAAATCAAAGACTACAGCTTTCAATATGGATTACATCTCAACATAAAGAAAACAATGATTTCCACCACTTGGCCAATAGGCAACACCACGACAGATGGAGCTCTGGCAGCCTAGTGGAAAGATGATGCACTGCAATCCTGAAAGTACAGGGTTCAAGTTGTTCTATGTGAGAAAGATGAGCAATCTCCTATCTTGGGATTAACTGCCTCTGAAAAACCCCCTGAGAGGGTCTGCTATGGGTCTGTTCTGACTTGATGGTACACACTACCACCACTGAAACAACAGGCAACATCATGACAGATGGAGAAAAGACTGAAATTGGCAACCATATCTTGCTTGGATCCAAAATCATCCTTGGTACCAACAATCAGATCAAGGAGACATATAACATTAGGAAACTCTGCTGTCAGGAACATCTCCAAAGTCCTCAAGAACAATGGTGTCAGTTTAAAGACTAAGGTGTGCCTGATTCAGGGCATGGTCTTTTCCATTACTTGCTATGCATCTAAGCACTGGACAACGAATACAGATGGCAGAAAAATTGATGCCTTTGAGTTGTGGTGTTGTAGAGAAGTACTACATATCCCATGGACTGCCGAAAGAACAAACAGATGTATCTTAGAGAAGGTGCAACCTGAGTGTTCTTTGAAGGCATGGGTGGCAAAGCTTCATCTCACATACTTTGGGTATGTTGTTAGGAAAGACTATTCCTTGGAGAGGGGCATCATGCTTTGGAAAGGTGGAAGGTCAACAAAGGAGAGGAAGACTCTTACTTAGCAAGATGGATTGATAAAGAGACTATGGCAATGGGCTCAAATGTGCCAGGAATAAGGATGGTTCATGATAGGGTAGGGTTGAGATCTGCTGTTCATAGGATCTCTTGCATTGTACTTTACTTGAAGGCACCTAACAACAACAATGACAAGAAACAAACCACTGTATTTGTCCTTTTAAGGGAGGAGGCTAGGTTGTGCAGTGAGCAATCATCTATGTGGGGATGTAATAAATATTTTTTTAAGTAATACCAACAACTAACCCTCAGTGACTGTGAGCCAGACTCTAGCTATTATATAATACAATGTTTAGGTTCCTGTGGGTTAAGGGGTGTTAATCTCTATTTTTATGGGAAGTGAGATTTAGAGCATGTAAGTGACATGCCTCTAACCAATCAAGTGACAGAAATGTAAATCTATCCAACCAGACTCTAGAGCTCTTTCAAATTGCTACTCTATTCTTTCTCCTAATATATGAAACACAAAGACCTAAGACCTACCTTAGGCACTTAAGTGGCTATATGATGAATAAATGGCATGGTTTAGCTGAACCAATATTTACTGTCAGCCTTGGTTTCTGCTCTTAAGGAGTTAGCTCAAGGCAATCGCTCTGTAACTAAGGACATTCCTTATGAAGGATGTTAGTAGGGGATGATGATGATATTATTTTCCTGTACAATTAACAAGTTCACAAGTAATGCCATAGTGTCATGGAACAAAACTCTAGGATTTTACTGCTATCAAAGTTTTGCAAAAATTATTCCATTAAAAGAAAAAGTGAGGATGCCTCCCCCCTCCCCCCATATGTTCTTTCTGACAGCGCAAGGCAAGTGCCATTGGACTTGCTCTCTTTTTCTACTCATTGTCAAGTCAGTTCCAACTCACAGCTGACCCCTAATGATTTTCAAGGCAGGAGAGGAAACTGTCCCATCTTTCCCCGCTGGTGCATTCGAACTGCCAAAGCAGCACAGCTTTGGATTAGGAACGCAACTCTCTACACAATATGCCAATGTTCCCCATGTTATCACAGAATACAGTGAAAAGAAAACACAAGAAGAAAATCCCAACAGCACTCCTGATCCCATGCACCAACCTGGACCTTAACGCGCTCCCCATTCGTGTTCTGCACTTGGAGAGTGTCCCGCACGCTCAGTTTGGCCGCAGGTTTGTGTCTGAGGCTAGGAACGGAAGAACAGGAGCGCAGGGCTCGGAGCAGGCACCGCGCCCCGAACATTGTGCGGCTGTCCAATCACTCAGCGGGGCTGCGGTGGGTCCCTGAAAGTTCAGAGCGTGTTTGAAGGTCCCCTACCTACTCCTACCCTCTCTGCAGCTCCCCCTCTTCCAGGTCTCAGCTTTCTCTTCCCCTACAATTTCTTCTTCTTTTCTAGCGTCCCAACAGAGTAGAATGCAAAACAAACCAGCAAGCACCAAGCGCAGCTAGGGTGGCCCACAGCCCCCCCGCTACTTCCAAACCTGAGCTGAAAGCCTGGGCAAAGCATGCACTCCCGCCGCCCTTACGCTACACGACAAAGCAGCTTACGTCATCACGCTACAGAGCGGCTTAAGAGGGAGCATGCGTACTTGGGACCTCAGGGCCAAGAAGGGGCAGGGCAAGAGGAGGGGTGGCGCTTATGTCTTACTGTCGGGAGTTTCTTGCTGAAGAAACTCTTGGAATCTGATTAGAAGGGGATTGTGGGCCACAAGAAGATAAAGGTAGAACATCCAATTGCAAAACAAGATATGAACAAACACTTCACCAAAGACATTCAGATGGCGAACAAACACATGAAGAAATGTTCAAAATCCCTCGCTCTAAGACAGATGCAAGTCAAAACAACTATGAGATATCATCTCACCTCAGAAAGAATAGCAAAATTTAACAGAACAGCAAGAACAGAACAGAAATGCTAGCGAGGTTATGGAGAAACTGGAACCCTTGTTCACTGTTGGTGGGAGTGTTAAATGGTGCAACCACTATAGAAGGCATTATGACACTTTCTCAAAAAGTTGGAAATAGAAATACCATTTGACCCAGCAATTCCACTACTGGGAAAATACCCTAAAGAAACCAGAACTGTCACCCAAGCATATGCACATCTATGTTATTGCTGCTTTGTTGACAATAACAAAGAGCTGGAAATAATAAAAGTGCCCATCAAAAAATGAATGGATAGAGAAGCTTTGGTATATTCACACAATGAAATATTATGCAGCACTGAAAAACAAAGAACTCATGAAATATTACACAAAATGGGTGACACTGGAGGACATTATGCTGAGTGAAATATCTCAGTCACAAAAAGACAAATACTGCATAATGCCACTGTTATAAAATAGGACTGACATGGGTGTTGGGGGAGAACTAAGAAAAGGTGATGAAAAATGTACACTGCATTGAAACAGATAAGGGAGAGAACTTATAAAAGAAATTTATGATTAGGTATTATAAGTGGACCAGGGAGGTGTCTGTATAACAATGCAAGATATGTTTTCCAAAGAAAAAAGTGAACTGGAGGTGGGGGAGCAGGAAGGAAAATGTGCATCAAAGAATGAATGGAAATCCAAGTGCACTATAAACTTTCCTTAAAATCTTAATTAAAAAAAAAAAGAATGGGATTGTTAGAGTTTTCACCTTTAACAAGTTCCCAGGTGAGACCGAGGAACAAATGAGAAGCAAACAATGACCAGTGCAGAAGAAAGGTGGTCAGGAGGAGGCCCAGATGCCAGGAGGATGATTACTCTGTATCAACCATTCTTGACTTCTGAATAGAGAGATATTAAAGACACAGCCCCTTCTCAAGACACCTTGAGCATCTAAAAAACAGTTGCAACAAAGGGTATTCCATTCCCTGACAGAGTCTAATGATTAGGTTAAGGTAAGAATATTGGGTAAGAATAATCTGTTGATGAATACTATTGAGTATACAATGGACTGCAAAAGAAGGAACAGATCTATCTCGGAAGAAATAGAGCCATAATGCTTTTTGGAGATGAGTGAGCTTATGAGACTTCATGTTAGAAGGAAGGGCCAGTTCTTGGAGAAACACATAATGCTCAGTAAGGAAAGGGATCAGTGAAAAAAAAGAAGACCCTCAACAAGATGGACTGATACTGTTGTTGCAACAATGAAGTCAAGCATAGCATCGATTATGAAGATTGGGCAGTGTCGTTTTCTGCTGAAGATAGGGTCTCTGTGAGTTGGAAACAATTTGACGCCACACAACAGTAACAACAACTGTGCCTAATTGTAGTATCATTTTCTAATATAGAGACTTTAGAAAAATATAACATAGATCTTTGATTAAGTAGGAAGAGTATCATCCTTTTCTTTTTTTCTATAATTATATTTTATTAATTTTCATAAACATTTACAGAGATTTTGGGCTTCCAC